CTGCTAATAACCGTCTATATTTTCGATAGATTTTATTGGCATATATTCCATTTATTTCATTAGAAGCATTGGTTATTTCATCAGTTAATTTATAAAGTTCTGCAACACGTTTTCGCGCTTTTATGTCGATGGCTATCGAAGGTAAAAAAGAATAGATGCATATACGTATGTATATAGGAAAAAATATGATTCCCACCTGAATCTGACCTAGGATATAACCTCGTTGTGCTCATACGTTTTTCCATCGTGTATTGCCGGAACTGGATTAATACAAAACAACAAACGATCTTCCAAGTTCTATTTTGATTAATAGATGTCACTGTTAATTATTCTACAATTAAATTTATTTCTTTTAAAATACGAAAGAAAAATTTTTTTAAAAATAAATATGTGCCAATTTACATTTAATTTCTTGTCAAATAATCTGTTGATATGACAACAAACTAATCAATAAAACAATATGATGGCACTTTTCGTTAGTTTTCTTTTATACAAAATCGCAACATAAAGTATCCAATACGGCACGAAAAAAAATAAAGTGACTTTTAGAAAATTTTTATTCATGAAATTTAGACTAAATATCAACGAAATTATCAGTATCGATCATCAACAAAGTTTTAAGAACTTTCAGTTGAACAAGGGCGTGAATGCGGGTGTGGGTGTTGCTGCAGGCGCTGTGTGAGTGCAGATGTGGGTGTGAGTATGAATGAAGGCAAGATTCACACCCACACCCACACCCGCATCCATATCCAGCCGTCGTCGCTGACGGTCTAGTGACCTATTGCTGCTACTGCTATAACAAAATCAACCACATCATATTTAGCGGATATCATCCCCATTCATGTAAAAACACCAACCAGAATACAACTTACCCTTCCTGCAATTGCTGAGCAAATGTGCGCTATGCATCAACTAAAAAACCGTTATTTCATCATGCATCCCAGTGACACTCATAAAAAAGGATTTTTATTTTTTCCTTTCTTTTCTTTTTCTGTTTTTCTTTGCTCTTCGTTCTCTTTTACCGTTTGAGCTTCTATAATGCGATTACTTTTTTTTTCTTCTTTTCTTCGCGCATCATACATTTCTTTCCTGCTGAAGAAAGGACACCTGTCACAAAAAACAAATCCAGTCAACAGGCTTCCTATAGGTCATGCATGTGGGATATGGGTATATGTGCGAATGAAGTGGGTGTGGGTGTAGCGTGGGGGGGGGGTGTCGGTATGTTGGTGTGGGTATGGGTGGATGTAGGTGTGGGGTGTGGGTAGGTGGGTGTGACTGGTGGGTGTAGGTGTGTCTGAGAGTGGTGTAGGTGCGTGAGTGGGTGTGGATGCGCGGTTGGATGTGGGTGTGTGGGTGGGTATGGATGCGCGGTTGGATGTGGATGTGTGAGTGGTAGTTTGCAGTTTCTTCACAGTCACAACCACACACCCACCCACACCTACACCTATACCCACACACCCACATCCACCCACACTTTCACCCACACCCACCCACACCCACACCCACACCCACCCACACCCATACCCACACCCATACCCACACCCACCCCGAAACGCAAGCTATTACATCTTTTATAGGGTATTTTTTCTTGTTTTTTCCCAAAAAGATATGATAGTGCTAAAAGTCCGTATTGGCTAAGTTTTCATAGGAAGGGTATTAGAACCTAAAATTCTAGGGTTAGTGGTTTTAGACATTGATGTGTTGAATGAGTAAAAAAAAATTGAAAAAAAAATTTTTATCGAGTGCTTCAAATACTCAGTGCACTCATGGACGTTCTCTTAAATATGAATAGAATAATAAGTCTAGAATTGATAGTAATGTTTGTCTCAATTGAATGATAATCTTGTTTTGAGACAAAGAAGAAAAGAATGCTTTTCATCTTCTTCTGAATCTATATTATTATTATCATCAAAGATGTTATGTACAAAATAAATGTTCAAAAGATTACAAATTAATAAAGAGATGTTAAGTTGAAAAAAAGAATATTTGCATGAGACTCCGACCATTACAATTATTTAGATAAATTAATGCTTTGATGAAGGTATGTGAGTGTAGATGCGGATGGAGTGAAGGCGGAGACCCACATTCACACCCACAACCACACCTTGGTCTTTTTCTACCTTGTTGACATGTATATAAGGACCATTTGGAAAATAGAAGAGTAGTTTAGTATTGACCTGTTGGATTATATTATTCGGTGACAGACTGTTTGTTATCAACATAAAAAATCATAAGAGATTCACTCTGCATTCACTGTATTCACATGTAAATGCTCTGATAATAAACAAAGGAGAAGATATTTTGTGAGGGAGACAATAGTCAAACCATAGCATCGACTTTATTCTTTTAGCATCATTTATTTTAGATTATCTCGATTTCAGAGCAAATTTAGAATAATAGATTATGATCGATTTCGGAATACTGATTCGTAAGATCCTATTCTTAGGAAGCAGAGCAGTGTTATTCATTACAATATTTGCACCAACCATCTCGATTTGCTTCACAGAGGCCTGTTCGGTGTGGTCTAGTCTGTCGCGAGCGCCAGTTTCTATGTAAGCCTGGAAACGGACAACCGTAGAACTCTTCCAGAATCCATAGGTATAGCCAATAGAAAGCTTCACACCACTGTTCGTGGCTGAACTGAGCGGCCGTGTATATTGGACATTTATCGCATCCTTGAGTGTAGATTTTCATTTGAATTAGACCCTCTCCACACAAGTCACCATATCCGTCTGTATATTCGTCAAAGCGAGCTCGAAAAAGAACGGTACCATATTGGGAAATCCAAAAGCAATTGTCGTTCTCTTTTGTTATCTTCAAACATTTTTGGCATGGAAAACTATGGTTTGTAACGAATGAATGTGAATACAATTTTGGAAATCATTATACTTACAAAGCTTTGCTGGAATGTCTTCTGAAATGCCAGCCATTGGATATATGTCGTTTGATTTTATTTCTTTTTGTGTTTACTTTTCTTGCCATTGTCACCAACGTCCATTCTGGTAGATCGTAGAATGCAAATGCAGCATAGAATAAGTCTATAATTTCTGGGTTTGAAAGTAGAACAGGAGTGGTGTTTGCTGCCATGTTGATGAAGGAACTAAACCGACTCTGATATATGACGGACACGACAGCAAACTACTTAAATATGAGGACATTCAATTGTGTGTGATGTAGAAAAAGATATGCTAACTGTTTATCTTTTTGAGTCATATCGCTGACAAACCAAACATTCGTGCTTTTTCGCCGATTTTACTATCACAATTCTTTTATTACGCAACATGTTCCTCAAGTTTTTGTATTCTACCGATTTAAAAGAAAACGATTCGAGTAGACGTTCAAATGAATATTTAGGCTCACATAACAGCCGACGAAAATCAAAGCAAAACGTTGAAATCTCGTTTAGATAAATATGTCACCAGAAATTGTTCGTGATCACATAAGGTATTCGTAAAAGGTCGAATGTTATTCATAGTTTCAATTCAAAAGAACTACTAAAATTTCAAGAAGAATGTTCAAGGTTATCCTAGGTGTCTCAAATGCCTGTCGAGAAACTAGACGTGAATCACCATTATTAGGTTACTCTCCTCGTCTATAACTGCAGAATGCAAAAACATGTCACAAATGCAATTCGCAGAGCACGAGTTCGGAGTTGATAATAAAGGCTGTTGATAGAGTATGATATTATGACTCGTTTAGAGATAAGAATCGAGTCTGAGTAACAACAAAATAAATGAAAGTAACTCTATGTGGGATTCAAATCGTGTATCTTCTGCTATCTGGGTAGATGTTCTAAGCCAGTTAGACGAGAAGAAACATCGAATCTGTCTTATGTACACACGAGAAAACGCTGAATGTAACAGGCCTCGCTGCCCCTGAATTTCAATCGTCATCACCCTCGTTTTTTATTTTCTTCTTGTAGTAATGCTGAACCATATCAGGAAGACTAAATTTATCACACTTGAGGGTGTGGGTGTGGGTGGGTGTGGGTGGGGTGTGGGTGTGTGGGTGTGGGTGTGGGTGTGGGGTGTGGGTGTGGGGTGTGGGTGTGGGTGTGGGTGGGGTGTGGGTGTGGGGTGTGGGTGGGTGTGGGTGTGGGTGTGGGTGTGGGGTGTGCGTGTGCGTGCGGGTAGGTATTAATGAAGAGAAGATTAATACCTACACCCACACCCACCCCCACACCCACCCACACCCTCCATTTCTATGACAAATTTTTTCTTTAACTGATATGTTTGTTTATTTTCAAATGATCTCAAACACGTAGTTTAAAATAGATGATTTTGTTTTTATTTATAGTTTGGATGTCACCAATTGCATTATTTTTTCGATGTTTTTCAACGTGTTCGTCAGATTTTCATTTTGCTTTTATTTACATCTCAATGCTTAGGTTTTGGTATACATACTTTTATTAATGAATGAGAATGATTTAGAAAATAAATTTAATTTTTTTAGTCATAATTCTTCTTTGACTTTTGTATAATTTCTAACATTGGAATAATTGTTTGATTGATGTGTAAGCATTGAAAGATATATATGAAAAGCATGGAATTTCAATTGATCAAAAATGATTCTAAAAATCGGAAGACTCAACTAGCTTATCGTACAATACATTAAGTAAAAAAATAATGAAGATATGACAAGAGATGAAATCATATAAAATAAATTGTATCTCAATAATCATAAGTTAGGCATAAATAACAGAAGATTTCATTTTGTACAAGAGTATTGGTGTGGCAGTGAATGTATAGATATCGGTTTAGGCTTTCTCTTCATACTTACATCCAAACAACTTATCTGTCAACAATAATGAATCTATTACTT